AAAAGCCGGTTCCCTCCAGCATCGTCTCTGCGGGGGGGGCAGAGGTATCCCTGTTGCTGTACCTCTCCCTTTGAAATGTACAAGAGCTGTCCGCGATTGTTGTACATTACAAAGGAAGAGGTACAGTGGGATAACGAGCGCCCCCCTTATCGACTAACTGACTAGTGGATGGAATTTCCATCCACTACTCAATTAGTTGATTAATCAAAATTTAACGTCCCTAGGTTAGATATGTCTTTAGAATGCACAGTACAGAGCTATGCAGCTGAGGGAAGGCTTGCAAGAGAGCTCTAACAGTTAACCACGATAGTGTGCTGTGTTGGGCAGTATTCTTATTTGGCTCTGAATTTTCAGGATTGTTAGGAGTTGTGTTGTACTGGGGGTATGTTTAAGAACATCATACTGCTTTAATGAACCTATGAGTTATGTGGTGGTTAATGTAATAATTATAAATGTACAGTGAGTTTTTAATGGAATTGATGTTTTACGTAGTTCTGTTCTGTTACAAATAATGTGCTTTGAGCATTCTGCAGTACAAGTTGTGAAATAACAAAAACCATGCCCCACTCAGCCATTTTTGTGAAGTTATGGTGGTTCTTACTGTCCTCTGATGTCAAGTTATTAGGGGGCAGGGATTCAGCCACCTGGAAAGCTGCTGAAACAGAGTTCTGCATTGGCTGAATGAAAAGGAAGGTGAACCAGGACTGTTAAATCTGTAAGTCAACAAGAGCTTGCAGCATCTGTGTTTGCTACCTGAGAAACCCCATTATGTCCTGCTGTGTCTCCCACTCCTTTTCCTGTCAGATGTCTCTCTCTTGCCTGTTCTTTATTTCTCCAGACTGTCTTGCTATATTCAACCTCAGGCCCTCAGTTCTCAGTCCTGGTTTGCAGGAGCTCACTGAACATGTCCTTTTTAGCCACCTCCTTTCTCCTCTTCATCAGGGTCAGGTGTTCTGTGTGTGTGGAGGGAGCCCCTCAAGCCCACAGTGCAACAGCTGAAGATAAGAGACAGATGTATCCTATTTATAGTCACAACAGACTAAGAGAGTTTCAGAACATTCTTATTCCAATAAGATTTTTGTATGATATGTTTATTGGTACTTTAGTTTTGGAGTGCCTTTGCACAGCACCGCTCTCCAACCACTGCCATGGTGATGGAGATCCAAGCGGGGAAGAGAGTGAGGAAGGGATTGTTCAGTTACATAAAACAATAAAGTTTTGCCCTTGTTTATAGACATACAAATGCAGGCGATGGCATTGAGTATTGGCACTATTTTACATAGGCACAGTGATGGGTTTTATCTGAGATCTCACTCCAAGGCATCACCAAACACAGAAAACAAAAAACTGTTGCTGCATTCCAAAGCTGCACAGGCCTGTATGCCATTAACCCCGTTTATTGCTATGGAGCTTGCTAAAGTCACCACGGAGTGGCATGGAGTTCCTTCCACTGTGGAGGAGGAAGTAAGGCAGACATCTTTAGAAATCTTTGTGAGAGGGTTTGCTAGTATCTCCATGAAAGTTTCACTGAGCTCTCCCAGAAGGATAAAAGGGCCATCTTTGTGTACATAAATGGTTCTGCATGCCCCCTCTCAGTATCCGACCCTAGAGGGGAATGAAAAGCAGATGACCGCTCTGTGTCTGTCTGTACCTCTGCCTGTTCTCATATGAGTAAAACAATGAAAATTTGATAGCTATGTCCTGATAGCTTGGGGTTGGTCCAGTTATCACTTTGGGGTTTCAACTTTTTAAAGGAGAATGTATGCAGTCCTATCATATCTGGCTATGGCACTTTTAGTGAAGGAATATCAGGAGTCGGAGAGATCCTCAAGCCACTCATCACAGAAAGGGCCGACTCCTTCAAGACACATCCCGTTTCCTTCAGAAACTCTGCTACAGTGACAGCCTACCTCAGAATGCCATCCTTGCTACCATATCCGCCACAATGACAGCATCACTGCTTGCTTCAATTATCTACTAGACAATCAACAGTCCTTGGCTGTCCATCCCAGACTCACCCCTGAACTCATCCTCGCTCATCCTCACCCATGTCAGTTTTATATTCAATAGCAAACATTTTGCCTAATCCATGGGAATAGCTGTGGCTAGTAGAACAGCTCCCTGGTATGCTTCTTCAGAAGGGAGAGGAGGAATTTCTCGACAAATGCACTAGGAAACAAATGAATGTTTAAGATGTATCAATTTATTTTCTTCCTTTGGCCAGAAGAGTAAACTTCCTCAGATTTTCACCATGACTTCAACAACCAGCGCCCATCCATACTCCCTCAGTAGCATCAATTTACTGGCTACTATAATTGGTTTCAGCAATAGAAACCTACAGATAACTATATACAAAATAACCTATGGATTACCGTGACACATACTTTTAAATAACCACTCCAAATTCACCAAGAAATATGTTGCCTACAGCCAGCCACTCAGGCTACATCTACACAGCTTCCTTCTTCCGGAAAAGCCTATGCAAATGAAGCATGGCAATATGCTAATCCACGCTTCTTCCGCAAAACCCTATGCAAATGAAGCATGGCAATATGCTAATCCACGCTTCTTCCGCAAAACCCTATGCAAATGAAGCTGCATAGCTATATAGACGAAGCCTCAGATACCATAGAATATATACCTTAATACTTTTACACGTAAAACTGCCTTCGCCAAACAAGAGTAATTCACCAGAGTCCTAGATCACATCATGGAATGGGCCACCCAAATACCCCAGAAGAACCTGTTGCAATATGGAAACAAAACCCCTATGATTACACATTTGTAGTAGTCTGCTACAATGGAACCCATATAGGGTATAATTAAAAGTTGTTATAACACATGCTTGACAATGAATCTTTCTTGAAGCATACCACAGCCCATGAGACTCTCAACTCAAAGGGGTATCAGGCCGTGTCAGAGAAATAGATGCAAGACCTGTAGGCTTAGCTCCACTGTTATGATGATCAATGCAGGGGACAGTGTTCCCTGTAACCTGTGCGCTTATGCAGCCACTCAGGAGAAATTCAGGTGCCATCCCACTGATTAGCAAAGTGCCCACAGCTAAGTTTTATGTTTCTGTTGGTGGGTGCATATTGGTACATGCATCAGTGCACGTAACATTTATTCCACTTATGAATGGAAAAAATCCATACATAGATAGAAAAGATTAGAGGGAACATTGGTAGTAGACCTCTTCCAGCACACTACATGCCCCAGTAACAACTTTGTGGTAGAACCAGATAATCCATTATGCTCTTGAATAACTTGTCATAGTTATTTTATCATTTTTCTATCAGATTATCTCTGGGTGAACTAGCAAACAGCGGCAAACAAAAGGAGTTTTAATAGGGAGTTTTCTAGGTGAAGGAACAGCAACTACTTTCCTAATTTTAATTTAAAATGGAAGATTACCATGATTATCCAGGCTGATAGTTTCAATTGGTGGTTCTGTAAGCAGAAGTTGTACCTGTTTCTAATGTAACACTATACGGTAGTGTGAAATTTTTATTTTTCCTCTCTGCTGCTGCTTCCTGATTGCCTTGCTGACTTATGGTTCCATATGAGGTGTGTAGTTGACTTGTCAGTTCATAATTCTAGTGTGTTTGGAACTAATTTAGGTTCAAAACCAGGTTGCGAAACAAAGCTTGTCCATCACATGTAGCGTTTCAGCATCATCTGCCTAAGTCTGAATCAGAGACATCTTGGCCACCAATCTTTCGAGATCCTGCTTGGCTACAATGCTCAGAGTTCAGACCAAGTTTTTCAAGGCCAGTTTTCTCTGCAAAATAATAAAAAAAACTTCTCGCAACTGGGGGTGCTTGAAATCAGCCCCTGAAGGAAAGTAGTCTGGATTAACCAGACTATTCCATACAGGCCAAATCTACTGTTTGAAAACCTGCTGATACTGTAGTAAAGACTAAGAATCCTTTTTATCTACTGAACAGCTACATCAAAAACATTCTTGACTATTTGCAACTAATATTTTACAGCCTGTGATTTCTTCCACCACCATCTTTCCCCTTCATTTGTCACAAATTATCACTAGAATGACCTGTGAGGATGCTGCTGAAGAAGATGCATAGAGAAGCATCACAGAGTAGAGTAGCTATGTATTGCTTTAGTAAAACTACTGTCATATTACATTTTATTCTTGAGTGCTTCAAAGCCAGACATGGTGACAAATTGAGAGAAAGTTTTAAGAACTCTGAGTGCTTGATTTTATTATAGAGCTAAGTGTATAAGTGTTGACTGAACTGATGGTAGCAACTTATAAATATCTGAAATTTGTCAGCATCAAAAATAGTGAAACATTTTTTAGGATACTATAGGAATCTATAGCTAGAAGCAACTAATGAAACTTAAAGGAAAAATTAAAATGACTGTTGTAAAAAGTTTCCTTGACACAGTAAGATTTTTACTATGTAGGTTTTTTAGGCGAAGTCATAAAAAACCATCAACTGAGTCTTTAAAACTAGGAAATATTATTGGGGAATTATACAAAGTAACTGAATATAAATGAGATAATTCAGTATATGTTTTTGTCATTTGAATATTTAGGATTCTCTGATAGCAGTATTGAGTCTGTTGCATCTATGTAACAAATAAAATGTGTCTGGGCTTGTCCTAAAGATGAAAATGAACAGATAAAAAGAGTAGGGGAGAAATTAGTTAAATCTTAACTTAAAGTTTTGAGTACTACCATTTAGAATGAACAAGGTTGTGGCTTTGTACCACCTTTAAAACATAGATCCAGATTTTCAGAAACGTGTGCACATTCTTACAAATTTGAGTATACTGCTTGGATTCCCCAACAATAGTATCTGCTTGTTTCGGACTTATGTCTTACAGAAGATCAATGCATATGTATGGTTTGTAATGGCATGGTTTGCAATGGTTTACAAGTTATGCTGAAATTAGTAATTTTAACAGGTTTCTTGTCTTGCCCATATGTTTGAAGGTCATTTTTAAGTGAACATTGTATTGTTTTGACTCTATAGCTATGAATCAGCGAATCAGCCAAAGTGCTCCAGTGAAACAGCCACCCCCACTGGCTCCTCAGAGTCCTCAAGGTGGAGTGATGGGTGGGGGCAGCTCCAATCAGCAGCAACAGATGAGACTGCAGCAGCTGCAGATGGAGAAAGAGAGGCTGCGACTGAAGCATCAAGAACTGCTTCGGCAGGTGAGGCCACAGGTTAGACACAGACTTCCACTATATATTTTGTATGTTTTTGTTGTTGCACGTATGTGGTTATTCCAGCAAGCATAATGCACCAGAAGCGCCAAAGAGAGAATTGTGCTACATTCATTAGGATTTCACCTCAGTAGCAGAAGCTCTAGACTTTCTAGATGCAAGTCTTTTTCCTTAGCAAAATTCCCAAAGAGCAAACATCTTCATTAGTTGAAGTGTCATTAGGGTGGTACAAGTAAGAGAGTAGCACAGCATAACGATCTTATTGGAGATTTCTCTGAGACTATTTTCACTCAAAAGAGTCAGAGAGACTGTTTTCCCACATCTGCGTTGTCCTTCATTTTAAGGAAAAACCTTTTCAATATAATTCTTTTTTGAAAGTGTATTTTTAATACACAAGGCAGTCCAAAAGATACAAAAGTGTTTTTCAAGTTACATGTAGAGGAATCATCTCATTGCTGAAATTCATCCACTTATGAATGGCATGCAAGCTGAACAATTGAATAGACTTTCCTGGTTTTGGAACCTGTGGTTCTTGTGTGTAGGTATTTCAAATCTGGTGCTTAAATGTTACGCCATTCCCTCTAGAACTTTTCTAGTAACAAAAACTGGTCGTTGAGAAAACTGAGGTTTATTAGATTGCTTAGTCTGAGAGGCAGGAACTCTGGATTTTGAATCCCAGCTTCTACTCCCTTCGTGGCATTGGGTAATCCAATTAAATCTTCCACCCGAGTTTCTCCATTTATAAAATGCAATAGCGTTTATTTACTGTTTCACGGTGTATTGCAAAGATTAATGATTTGAAAGCACTTTGAAAAGGGAAAGTGCTGTAGAAATGCTCACTATTTGAAGAGCCCAGTGTTTTCAAAGGATAATAGTAATAAGTAGGAACGCAACAGGAAAACATCATTCATTGTAATTCAGTTAAGACAGCTTTCAGCATTGGGTAAAGTGCTCTAAATATTCATTTAGTAATGGATGAAATACTTTGATGCCCTAACTAAACACGTAGCCCATCATAATCAGCTTCATTAAATGACTTTCAAGAAAGGAAATGTTAAATAAGAAAGTAATCCCAGCAGGGTAATTATTTACTTAGAAGCAACATACCTAACAGAGCATTTAACATGTTTCTTTTTTTACTTTGACTTTTTAATTAGCCTTTCATTTAACAATTTACCCAGATTCAGTTGTAGGTTATGGACTTTGTCTTCTTTTGCAACTGAGTAAACCTGAAGGGCGAGGGGGGAGAAAACCCAACAATACCATGATGTCTGTTTCCACAATCGCCATGTTAAAAGTTCCATTAATATTTTTCTTTCTGATTTTTGGTAGAAGGTTGGCTACCATCTTTTCTGAGAAATTTAGGTTATCCTCAGTTTTGTAATACTGATGGAGCAATCACTGACACACTAGTCTTTTCTTTGAGGAAAAACTTAAAGTTTTATCCTTTTTCCTTTTCCTCTTCGGTGATGGGCTTTATATCAAGAGAGGATAATATCTTCATACCCTCTTCCTTTTTTCTTGGTCACTTGTGGTATTCTGTCCTTGACCAGGGAGTCTGACTCCCATTGTCCCGTCTGACCTCAAGTCCTGTTGGTAGGAATCTTTAGCATCTCTTGATATAAGTTGGGTCATCTTTAAAATTCAGTACTACTTCTTAAAGTGCTTTATTAAATATGCCTAAATGAGAGCATCAGGACTCCCTTGCTGCTTAAGCACCTAGTCCTCTGCTGTATCTGCTTTGCTATTAATCCTCCAGCAAATGTCTGCCCTATGCTAGCATGCTTCTTGATAGGGCTTCTAGTTTTCCTACTTCAGCTCTCCTTGAGAAATCTGATTAACTTTGGATCACATGATGGTCTGTTCCTCCATGTTCCCCCTTGCCATTAAGCGTTTGTCATTTTCACATGCTCAGTAAACATTTGAGTTTTGTTTCATTGTGAAGTGATTTCCATCGACTCTTAGCTCCTTTACCCTGTCTCATCGTGGGCTGTCTTGGGGACTTGGTGCTACAAGATGGTTTTTGTAAGTCAGCCTGCACAGCCAAATCATGCAGCTTAAAGTAATTTTTATCCATCTTATTTTTTACTCTTAGGCATTGCGGAATATCAATCCCAGCACAGCAAATTCTCCAAAACGTCAGGTAGGCTCTTAACTGATGATTCAGTGTAATAAGAAACAATTAAAGTATTAAATTAGGCTAGCTGAGGAACTTGTCTTAACTGCAGCCATCCTGAATAGCAGCCAGTTCTGCCATACACCTTTTTAAGCTCTGCTCTAGTTATGATCCCTAAAATAGATGTTAAGAGTGCTTCATTACTTCATCATTATTTCAGTATTTTAAAGCAAACATGGAATTAGTTACACTTTTTGCGTTGCAAAGAACTTTCTCTTGTTTTCATTCTTCATGATATTGAAATTTCAGTTTTCATCCTATCAGAATAGATATGAAAGCCAATTTCTTATTAAATGTAATGTGCTAACTAGTGGTTTTTAAATACTGTTGAGGCATGAAGTGTGTTCTAAACAGAATATTTACATCTAAAACAAACATCTTAACATAAGTATCGTATAAACTAATCCATTGAATAAAAGATCACCCAGGATATTTACAAGAGTTTATTTTTTTTAAATGTGTATGTGTAAATATTACAGAATCATTGAGAATAGATTAAACTGTCAAGATTGTTGCTGGAATCAAATATGCAACCTGAAAATTAGAATTCAGTCATTTAAATTCTGTACTTAAATGGGGCACTTACTGTACACCAAAAACAAAACAAAAATATACGAAAATATAAACAGTTGAATATTTACGATTTACGAAAATATAAACAGTTGAATGTGAAGTCCTCTCAAGCCATTGGAAATTGGAAAGCAATGTAATATATTGTTGAAAAACTGCTTTTCCCTAGCTGTGCTCTTAGGACTAAATTGTCCAAAAATGGTGTTAATTTTAATATACCCATTCTTTGGACGACATTCATTGGTAGCATACATTACACACAAACAAGCTTAGTGCTGTAATTTTTACTTTAAGAAAAATACAATAAAAGCCTATCTAGCCTGTATTTTGCTGAAAAAGTGTGTCAAAATCCACCTTAAAAGTAAATTTATAAGCCTTATAGTTGCAAAAAGAATCTTCAGAGTATGAACTTCATGAAAATATATGCTGTGTTGTCTCCTTGATCCCATGAACAGGTATCCCTCCAAAAATAGCTTTCCCATGGCAACTCTGAAATACAGTATAACAATAGTTAAAATACCAACACTGATAATTTTAAGAGAGAGACTTCACTGTTGCATGCAAAGGTAAAGAATCCAACAACTGGTTGTTGAGGTTTGTTGGATGAGGAATAATTCAAGTCCTTTCCAGTTACCACAAAATTAAGTTACCTTTCATCACAAATAGATGGTGAAGAGGAATTGCTTTCTGTCCCTCTAAAATCCCAAACTTCCTTCCACACGTTCCCAGGTATAGAAGTTGCAACTTATTCCAACACAGCTGTCAGAATTTCTGCCTTCTCTTACTGTACCACCACAACTATTGCAGATAATTGATAGCACAAATATATTCAGCAAATTGAAATATTTGGCGACTTTATAAATACAAAAAAAAGAAGTTATTTTCATATTCAACTCATTAAATGTGTTAATTTTTTAAACCACTTATTTCTAATTAACCATGACATAATGCTACAGAAACCAGGGGGAGCAGAGTACAGTTATGATGAAACCTTGCGTATAATTACTAGGGTAGATGAAAGCAACTACTGAGTTCAGCATCTTTGCCTTTAATGACATTTATAAGATAGCTGAGGACCTTTTTGCCGATCAGCAAGAATGAGACTATTCTCAACAGTTGTCCACTTTCAATCCTATTTTATGGTGTGGGATTGGTTAATGAGGCATGTGGCAAAATCAGGATTTCAAGTCTATCAAAATCTGAGTAAATTCAGTCTTATGTTGGGACTCAGCTTTGCTCACATCAGGGCATGGGACCTATTGTATTTTCCTGTTGGTTTAACTGGAAGTTGTCATGTGGAGGGCTTGTGCTCCAACCCTGTGGACATCAACTTTTGCCACCTCGTATTCAGTGGCAGAGTACTGTGCATCAGTGCAGAATTAATCATCACACACCGAACTGGTGGATACAGTTACATGCTGACACATACATCATGTCTGGCACCCTGTGTCCGACTCCACTCATGTGGCTTCCAGTTCTGAGCAATATTACTCCTCATATCAGATGAGAGGTTGGCACTGGGAAGTTATAGGGTAAAGTATGCACTAACCCAAATCTGATGCTGCACAATGATCTTTTTAAACAACTATCTGCACACTTGTCATGATGTCACCTGTTAATGGTCTCATCTGCTATGCCAGGATGTTACCCATTCCTCTGGCCAAAGTGTTTCGATGTATCTGTTATAATCCTCAACCACTCTCTTGTCGCTCATTCCCACCGTCTACTCACTTGGTTTTGACCTTCCCCATGTTCCATACCAGACCAAGCAAGGTCTCTGTGCAGCCAGCCGGTATTGCTGGGGCCTACGTGATAGCTCTTTGTGCAGTCATGGAGGAGCATGGACAATGATGCATGCTGTTGATGAATGCCTGCTGACTTATTTCAGCAATGATCTACAAGAACTGCATCATTGCACTAAAGATGGCATCGCTTAGCTAGATGACTAAGCACAGCTAAATATTGGTTTAAAGGACCTGGGTTTGGGAGTGCTCTGAGGTGGATAGAACACAGCCAGTAGGCCACTCTGGTGGCCTGGAAGAGATTGGTTTGGTTTTTGTTTTGTTTTGTTCTTATAGCACCTAAAAGTACATTTTGTTTATGCTTTTCTCACGTCACGTTAGTAAGATGATGGTCTGCCACAGATGCAGGAGAAATATTAGAGACCCACTAATTGAGATTGTGCTCTAAAAGTCGATGGTGACTTCTTATCAGGTCATTTCTCTGTTTTGCTTATTAAAACCCATCAGTTTGAGACTGGATTAGCTGCTTCCTTCCATGTTGGGAGATTCTTATTTGGGGACAAACATGATATCTTCTCTAGCTGAGTGTCAGCTTTTTTCAGAAAGCTTCAAGAGATGTTGAGAGAGCATCATTCTGTGACCAGGTTGGATTAATTGCATTTATTAGTGGGGTCATTGGTCTGTTATTGGTGGATCTATCACCTGTCATCTCTTGGGAGGTCCAGGAGCCATCATCTGCCAAGTAGTCCTTTGTGCAAAACCATGTTTTGATGCTGCTCACTCATCACCAACTATTTCCATTTTGGGAATGGATATGGAGAACTCTGTGGTAAGGTGGCTTTGACATTTTACCTGAACCCTTAGATAGCCTTGACATCTTTCAGGTTGTTGTGAGATCTGAATATGGTACTGAGATTGTGCTGGTTTTATTAGTTAATTTCTTCTGACAGTGGGCAAAGTTCAGAGTCTATAACAATAGTTTTGTATGACCTCTAGGGAAATAAAACCTAGATGAAGCTACTATAAATTGGGTCCATAACTGATTGGATAATCATTCCACAGGGATCAATTTTGGGACCAGTTCCTCTTCAATATTTTCATCAATGATTTAGAGTTGTAAATATCTGTTTTAAAAGTTAAAAGATTAAACAGTATGTTTAACCAGTTAACCGCAGACATCTAGGATCCTGGGCTCCTGGGCTTCTCCTGACAGGCCTCTGTGGCCGGGGTCCTTCTGGCCAACCCACTGCAGGCAAGTGGCTCCCCCAGCCATAACACAGGTGGGGGAGCTGGTCAGGCCAAGCTGCTGGTTAACTAGTTACCAGGTAAGCATGCCGGTAAGGCTAATACTAACTGATTAACTGGTTAGCCTTTTACATCCCTACAACTATTTAGAAAATGGCAGAGAGAGTACACTTATAAAGTTTGTGGATGATACTGAGCTGGGAGGGGCTGCAAGTACTTTGGAGGATAAGATTATAATTCAAAATTATATTGACAAACTGGAGAAATGACTTGAGGTAAATAGGATAATACTCAGCAAGAAAAAATGCAGAGTACTCCACTTAGGAAGGAAAAATCAGTTTCACACATACAAAAAAGGAAGTTGACTGTTGAGGATGGAGTATGCAGAAAGGAATCTAAGGGTCATAGTGGACCACAAGCTAAATATGAGTCAACAGTGTGACTCTATTAAAAAAATTAAACCTTCTGAGATGCATTAACAGGAATATTGTAAGCAAGAATTTCTGCTCTACTCAGTTAGGCCTCCACTGGAATACTGTGTTCAATTCTGGGCAATTCAATTCAAGAAAAGATGTGGAGAAATTGGAGAAGGTCCAGAGAATAGCTACAAACATGATTAAAGGTCTAGAAAACATGGCCTGTGAGGAAAGACTTAAAAGCATTGTGTTTGTTTAGTTTGGAAAAGAGAAGACAAGAGGGACACGACAGCTTTCAAGTACCTAAAAGGTGTTGCAAGGAATAGGGAGAAAAAATATTTTCCTTAACCTCTTTGATAGGACAAGAAGCATGGGCTTGAATTGCAAAATGGGAGGTTTAAGTTGGACATTAAAAAAACCTCCTGTCAGGGTGGTTAAACATTGGAATACATTGCTAGGGAGGTTGTGAAATCTCCATCATTGCAGATATTTGAGAGCAAGTTAAACATCTGTCAGGATAATCAAGTGGTGCTTGGTCCTACCTTGAGGGCAGGGGACTGGCTGGACTTAATGACTTCTCAAGGTCCCTTGAAGTTCTAGTATTCTATGATTCTTTTAACTGTCAGCTGCCTTGGAATTAAACATGAAGCGTTTGAGTCTGCAAATACTTCCAGTGGCTGTTTTTTCTGTCTGATCTGAGAAGAGAGCGTATTGATCAGTTGCTAATCTTTGTAAAAAGTATTGCAAGGGGTTTGGAACAAAACTTAAGTTTGTTATAACCCTAGTGTGTGTCCTGACAAAAAAATGCAGAGCATCTGAAAACAGAAATTTCAGCTCTCTTGTTGGAGTTAAGATAAAGAAAATCACTCTCAGCTATTGCTGCTACTTGGAAATCCAGAAACATACCAACCATTTATATAAGGACTCGTACTACGCTCCTTACCATCATAAGAGTGCCCAACAAACATCTAAAGTGGCAATTCATAACGAAGAG